AAACTCAGAGACACTGTTCCAGACTAATAAAAAATAAATAAACAAACATTGTTTTAAAACATTGGGATTATAACTCAGTGGTAATGCACTTGACTAGCACAGGTCATGTGCTCATAAAGCGCATGTGCTCATAAGCGCACACTCACTCACACAGATAGAGAGATAGCATAGCCCTCTATAAAGTTTTAGTTTACAAATGTAGATGTTGAGTTCTTGTGAGGTGTTTCTCAGTGTTATTTACACTGTTTTGTTTTGTTTTTTATTTTGTTGGGCCAGGACATGATTTCTAAAGGGTCTTTATAATTGGCTTATGTTCTGGAAGGAGTCAGACCACATTACCAGATACTGTGGACACCAACATTCACCAAGGACAGCAGTAGGCTAACAACAAGTTCTTTCTGAGTAAACAATTGCATGGTGGTGCACGCCTTTAATCACAGCAGAAGTAGGCAGATCTTTGTGAATTCCAGGCCACCTGATCTACATAATGGGTTCCAGGACAGCCAGGGCTACATAGAGACACTGACTTAAGAGGACAGAGGTGTAGTATCTTGTATTATACAACTGTTAACACTATGAGGTTCCAGAACATTTTATCACCCTCAAAAACAGTCATTTCTTATCACTTCCAAGCCCGGGAGAACCACTAGTTTGCTTTCAGTCTCTTTATTTGACTCTTGACATTTATGAATGGACTCAGAACTGTTTAGCCATATCTGCTGGGCTCTCCTTAATGAAGTTTTGAAAAAGACTCAGCTCTTCAATCTGCATGAGACCACTGATCCTCCAGAGCTGCTTTCTACCACTGACAAAACCCCATAGGTGTTTAAGTGACAGTGTCGTCTGTTCGGAAACCTCTAAGCCACATGATCAGAAGTTCCATTAAATATAGAAAAAAGCTTAACAAGTCTGGTTGCCATTGCAGTGACCTGAACTGAGAAATTGGGAAGCTGAAGCCTGGGGCTGAGTTGATCTTATCTTTTCCTTAAGATCATAGGTGACTGAACTTTTGATACAATTTGGTGACCTATAAGAGTGTATCCTGTTTTGTTGTAGGTCTTGCCATTTTAGGCTTTATTTCATTTGATATGTAGAATACTCCAGCATGGGCAAAGTCCTGCGAGGGGCACCCTAGAGAGAAGGTTTATACTGTCTACCTTGCTACAGAACCCTCATTGGTCTAACAAGAAAACTCTGAAACTGAAGACACATGAAAAAAATAGGACTCTTTATTCTTTGTCTTAGAATTCCCAGGGGTTGGGAACTCACTTGCCTCGTGAGTTCACAGGCTCTGAAGTCCCCCCCACACTGTTGAATGGATTCAGATTCCAAGAATCTGTAGACTGTACCCTCATTGCCATCTCTGAAGATCAGGCATACCACTACATGGAAGGTGTATCACCTATTCACTTAAGTGCTTCTTGTCTTCTGTGTGCCATTTACTGCTTGATACTCTGATACTATCTTGATGTCCAAACTCCATTTTTACATCCCTTCTCTTTGTCTTGTTATAGACTGTGACTCTTTTTACTACTGGTCAGTCTGGTCTCATTCTTCTTCCTCTGTCTTTTGCACCTTTTCCCCCAAGTTTGGAAGTCTTACTTTCCTTCAATTTGCTTTGAGGCCCTGCAGCTTCACAAACAGGCCCCACTCCCACACCCTTGTTCTTCTTGCTGCCAGCATTAAATAGCACATTGCCCTTGATGACAACAAACTTAAAGCCAGAAACTTTTTCCCCTTGCTGAAGATCTTCTCTTTCAGTCTTTTTCTTCTCAAATAGTCAGCTCTCAAAGGAAGAGGCATAGAGCAAGTGGGAAGTCTCCAGATGGAATCCATTGGGCTGGGTGTACTACTTGCTTGCCCATGTTGACTTGGAAAACAAGGTCATTTACCTTAAACTTTTGTTTTCACCTGTAAAGCAAGTAAGGAGTAATTTGCATTAGCTTTCTATTTGTTAGGTCTACTGGCTTAGAACAACACTAATCTTGATACACTAGCCTATCTGGAAATCCAGGAAACCTCTATCTCATCGTGCTTAGTCACATATGCCAGAGTGTCTTACTATATAAGGTAAATTCTTATGTATGAAGGTTAGGATATGGATGTCTTTGGAGCTATTATCCCACCTATAGTAGATTCTGTAGTGGAATCTGGGAGTTGTTTTTTTGTTTTGTTTTGTTTTGTTTTTTTTGTTTTTTGTATTGAAACAATACAAAAGGGACTATGCAGCCCTGGCTGTCCTAGAACTCACAAAGATCTACCTGCCTCTGCCTCCCAAGTGCTGGGATTAAAGGGGTATGCTACTACTCCTGGCCCTAAAAGGTTCTTGTTACAAATCTAAAGATATATTCCTTCAGTTTAAGGAGTTTAACACATCAGGCTGGAGATACAGAACAATAGATAAGAGCATTGGATGTTCTTCTAGAGGACCAGAGTGGTAGGTCACAATCATCTGTAACTCCAGTTCCAGGGGGTTCTGACTCTCTCATAACATCTGAGAAGACTTGGTGCACAGATGTACGTGAAAGCAAACCACTCACACACACATCAAAATAAATAAATAGATAGATAGATAGATAGATAGATAGATAGATAGATAGATAGATAGATAGATA